TATACAATAATTTTATTTTCCTTTAACTGAGGAGATATTTAATTAATACAATTTTTTTTTCTTAACCAATACTTGGAATAGTATTTTTAAAATATTCGGCGTTATTAATTTTGTCTGTGTTCCTCATTTGTGCGATTCTTTCTTTAGAAACAGAAGCCAAATCTGAATATATAACATCTAATGCGGGTTGTATTTATTATTAGTAGGGGATGTGGCACTGCGACCATCGGGTCTATTGTACCCTCTTTTAGGTAGATCTTTAAGCCCTGTTGCGTCAATAAAAAGTAGTATAGAACCTACTTTACAGAGTTTTATTGTCCGTAAGAATATACATTCTTAGAAGCCTATTTCGTATGTGCATTAGCGCAGGGCACTCTAACAGCACATGTATGGCCGACTCCTCATTCTCTTCACAGAATCTACAGTTTGTATACGTAGTATACCCGGTTTGTAATTTTTAGCAAATTTTTCGTTTAAACATTTTACATACCGCATATCAAACCTTTGGCAATTATATCTGACGATTATAATTATAATAGTTTGTCTATTCTAAAGAATTATCTTTAGCGAAAAACATACGAGTAACTGTCTTAAGTAAACACAAAAACCAGTCAGGATAGATAATTAGAAATAATAAAAAGACATTAAGTTAGATCAGCTATTCCTACATATATTGGTTCAAAAGTAATATAATATACATATATCGGATGACTGATGGATGTTTATGTAGCTTAAATATTTAATACGCTTGTAGTCCTACACGTTTAAGTTAGTTTATCCACCGCTTTTTTAACATCAATTTAACCGTGGCCAGATACACGGCAAAATGGTATTGGGTATTAGGTACTTATCTGTGTAGATAAAAATGTAGCTGCCTATGAAGCCTTTGGGGTAGCTATTATATAATCGATTTGATAACACTGTCGTCAAGATTTCTCTGGTAGACAATAGCATATGTATGTATATACAAATCTCAAAGTTAATTACAGAATGACTCTGAATGAACAGAAGCTCTGAGGATGGTTACTATCCATAAATAAATTGGGATAAATTAGGATTTATCCAATACTGAATTAACACAATTCAGTATTGATTGTAATTTTAGCTGTCATTTGATATAATTCCTGGTTTAGAAACCTAAATAAGTTCAAATCAAAAAGATTTGCACACGAATTTTGGCAGCTGAAAATAGAATTGAAGCGTAATTGAGGATTGAGTAAAATTTTCATACAAAATAAAATGAAAGTATGTATATATCATATGTGCAAAGTATTTACTATATGTACTATATATACTATATGTATATATATAAGTCGTATTCCATCAGGAACAAAGACGATATACATAGAATCCCCAGTTGTATCTGTGTCTGGCTTAATGCCGTAGTTCGTCGAAGGTTTTATCAGTTTTGGTGTATATTCTTAGTCTCCAGGTCGTTTTTGGTCAGCCACTCCCAGTTTCACTAAAGTTTGGCGTGATAAATTCATTGTAGTTCTTCGTTAAAGTATATACTAGCCAGTTGAATTTGCGTCTCTGATTTGCATGTTAACATCTTCTTGCTCAGTTATGCGTAAAAGTTCTTTATTTGAGATGGTTCTTGGCCACCATATTTTCGGATGTCCCCAAGGGATCGATTATGAAAGTTCTGTAATTTTCGTTTGATGTTATTGCTGACCAGTCAAGTTTCTGAAAATGTTTATTTTGGTTTTTGGTGTTAAGTCGTTCGGTCTACAAATATTGTGCAAGTTAGAGAAGGTAATTCTGGCTTTAACGATTCTGTTGTCCATATCGTACATCGCACCACCCTCGTATATTGACAATTATGCTTCCTAGGTAGCAAAATTTAACCACTTTGTCAATTGATACATTATTAAAGTAAAAGGTTGGTATGGAGCCAAAAAATTGATAATCGGTACATATACAAAAAATTTCAAACAATTTAACATAAAAATCAATACTTAACATCCGTTTTAGAATAGTTTTCAGTTCAATGTATCAAAAGCTAATTACATGCTAGAACTTAAATAAATTAATTTAAATATTAAAAATTGCCGACTTTATCTTATATTTTTTATAAAATAATACAGTCACGTAAGAAGACGACGATATTTTATCACAAGAAACGATTATTAAATAATTTCTTAGGTAATGCATTTCTAAATTTTCTAAGATATAAAATAATCTGTCAGACAAAAGTCAAACTAAGGAATACTTCTGTTCAGAATTAATGCAGTGTCCCAAAAGAAGCGCAATCAAACAGGTTATTAATGCAAAGGAAAGGACTGATATAAGATTGGGAATTGGTGAGCCATTTGTGTGAAAAATATAATATCACATACTAAGTGCGAATTATCACGACAAGAGTGCATTGATAAACTTAAATCTTTGTATTTCGATGAAGCATCATCTTATAACACTGTAAAAAGCTGGCTTAATGAATTCAATCGTTCACGCTCCAAAAACGTCCGTTGTCCCATAGAACTGCAAGATCGTCATGTGACATACCGTGAGATAGAGGCATCCTTTGGCATTTCTCTCACCAGAATATATTCGATATTGCATAAACACCTGACCGTAAAAAAAGTTTGTTCTCATTGGATCCCGCATAATTTGACAATCACTCAAAAAAAGGTTCGTGTGGATTCGATCGTGCAAAGAAATGTTGAAGAAAGACGTTCGCGGTGCTTCAAAAGACGTATATAAGATCGTCACAGGTGACAAAACAAAACAACAATCGACCATGTGGGTCTTCGAAGACGAGCCAAATCCAACGAAAGTTGTTCGTGAAAGATGTACTTCGAAGTAAATGGTCGCTTGTTTCTTCGGCAAAACTGGTCACGTGGCGACTGTTCCGCTTGAGCAACGAAGGACGATCACTTCAGAGTGGTACACCGCAATTTGTCTGCCGGAAGTCTTCGAAGAAATTCGAAAAACGAACAAGGGAAGACGAATCATTGTTCACCATGATAACGCGAGCTCTGACACATCCGCTCAAACCAGAATACTTTGAAAAACAATAAAACAATTTTTGATGATATATATTCGTACTTTCATTGTTAGACCAGAAATATATATTGCAGCCCTCGTAATACACATTATTTATACATATACAATACATAAATAATACTTTCCATTTGATTTTGTTTTGTCTGAAAGGAGATAGAGTTTAACTTATTATAATAGAAAATTTTTGATCTATAGAAATTAAATGTAAAATTTCAAAATTTTTATAGCAGAAATTCAATTTTTTTACCTAAAAATATATATATTTGAAAGTACTGAAAAAACGGAATCAGAGGTCAGTACATGTTGCTTTGCTACTTCATTTAACAATGCTATGATACTTTGTGATTAATTTGATAAAAAAATATAATTTGTCAGCAATTAGTGGAAGCCACCATGATTGTGTTTTAAAATACCATTCTGTGTGAAGCCCGATTATATTTTTTTTTATAATAGCATGTTCCAGAAGTATGTACAATTAAAAATTGATTGCATGTGTAAGAACTTAGATCCTATGCAAAAAAATTACAGTTGTCTCTAATCCGTGCCATGTATCTATGGTAAGCTCGTTAAGCGATTTAAATGTTTCAGTGAATACTGTAAGCCCTCATGTTGTCTTTTGACATCCTTTTCTTTTTGATCCATCAGGGTTCCATTCTAAGACTGAAAAAGTTGTAGTGCGTGTATCTTGTTTAGAGTACTCAAAATTGTCAACATCATTAATATCACAACCGTAAACTTATCTGCCTTTAAAGATAAGTTTTGATTGCAGACATGCATAGCTATTGGTTTTGACGTATTTATTTGAAGACCAGCTTTCAAAGAGATTTTTGTTAGTGAAGAAAGTCTGATAGGATGGAAATATTGTAATATAGTTTGGTCTTTGCAAAAGACCTTGCAGTGCATTACCTAGCACTGGTACTAGGTAGGTCTTACTATCTAATATGCTTAATATTTGTAAATGCAATCTTATTTGTCGTTGGATTTATGTTGAAATTTTACAGCATGTATTGATAAAGTCAAAGTACAACTTGTGATAAAGAGTCCAACCCTGTATACTGCCTAAGCTGGCTTAAACCACTGTATTCTTTACAACGGTATGAAATATATATTCACGTAATAAAAATAATTTTGACTGATTTGGTCCAAACAGAGTATAATGAAAAAATTTTAAATTCGATTTGTCTAACATATTTTGTTAAGTTGATAAGATTGGTTGTGATGAACTTACTGGATATAGAGAGATTGTATATTCAAATTGGATATTAAAAAAACAAAAAAAACTCTTGATGAATGATATCAAATATATTGACACTAATTGTTACAACTGTTTCACCTAACGTACTACTGTCAGGAAGGAGTGCAGTTCATAGAACCAACACTACAGTACCCGCCATGAAGAGTCATAAGTGAACTTGCTTCTTAGTAGCAAATATTATTGTAGAAATATATTTATTGCGTATGAGTACTTAGTTTTGACTTCATATAGAAGCCGGTATTTTAACATGTGTGGTAAGTAATATTAGGAAATCGAATTTGTGCATAAGTAAATAGAGTCTACTTCTTGTTACTCGTTATTACTCGTCAATGTAAAAATTGCATAAACTAGTTGCCGCTAGATCGTCAAATTTACCTATGACTTCGGGAAGTAATACGAACTTCTGCCATCGACTCTTCATTTTCTAAAGAAAGCCCTGCATTTAAATGAGACTACCCAAACCTCTACATACTATAAAACTATTCCCACCGTGTGATAGCGTGTGTTGTATTCAATATAAAAATTAAAGTATGATTGCATCTGAGGAATTAAAATCCTGCTTTTCAAATTTTCCACACTCTAAGTCAATGTCCACTTCAGTTTATTCTTATAAAAGTTGTTGTTATAAACATAATCTATATAAAGTCTGCATTGAAAAATTAATATATATTTATTTGTCATTTACAAAAATGCATGAAAAATTGTTATAATTTATCACATTAAATTATTTCTGGTATAGAGTTTTAATATGGATGAGGCACAAACTACCACAGACCCAGAAGCTCCAGAGGATAAAAAAGATTCTGCTGAGTATCTTAAAGGAAATATTGAGGTAGGGTTTGCTTATAATTTTTCTAATGCATAATTATAGCTGCGTATTTCTATAATAGTTGCTTGCGTTGATAAAACTTGCCATTAGGAAACTTTTACAGAATACCCCAATTTTTCCTCAAATATATTTAAATCAACTGCTGAAAACGATGGAAAACTCACCGGAAGCAATTCGCCAGGTAAATTTAATTCAACCAACTTGAAATGCTGGTGTCATTAAATTTTTGATTTACTTTAGGTAGAATCGTATATGCTTCATTATACAGAAGAAGGTGGGACCTTAGATGCAGCTATTGACAATGTTCTTAAAATTGTGGAAGTCAAGGCTTCACCGCAAATAAATTTGGAAAAAGTGGATTAACTTTTTTAATTAAATGCTTATTTCAAATAAATGTTTTCAAATTAATTGTTTCAAATAAACGCATAACACACAAGTAAATTATGGACTCATTATTTGTTAAATTAAATTAATGAATACACGGATCGCATATCGTATCGTATTCTATTTATTATGCGTAAATTATTTATTCCGTTAATTCAGAAGTAGTATCAGCAACTGAAATACCGGTTTTCAAAAAGTGGTGTAGAAGAGATAATTTACTTAGTAAAGGAGCACTTAACTCTTGATAAAAGAAACGCTGGAACTTGTTCAAGACTTTAAGTGCTGGTAGCTCTACGATGCGATAGATTCGCAACTACGATATTCAAAAAAGTGGAGGTACTCTAACGATAAACTGCGCATATATGTAACTTTCGTATGTCTCTGCAGATGTCTTCAAAATTAGATTGGACAGGCGTAATTGGAAAGAACGCATGAGTGAGATCTCCAAGGCTTAAGGTCCTTTCAACAAATTTCAAATAATGTGTATGTCTAGCGAATGGCGGCTTTTACAAGTACTGGAGGCTCTGTGATGTTAGAGTCGTAGAAAAGTAACTAATATATTTGAAATACTATTTTACATTAAACGTTTTTAGTGCAAACGGAGCAAGATGATGCAGGTGATTTACACGGTCTTAGCCAGACTACAGTTTCACTTATTTGCGTTAGAGTGGACAGAGTCCTTACTAAATATGCCACAACTATTATTAAAATGTGGGAATTTTCGATGGAGGAGGAAGTAATTATGAGTAGCATCAAATGTGTAAAAGGCTTTCTAAATGTGATTGTTGCAATTGATTGTTTTCAAATAAAAACGAATAAAACTAGAAAGGAATTTTTTTTCAATTCCATATTAATCGGAAAGGGTGTTATTAACTAGATGTACAAGTGTATATTTTTACTACTTTTAAAATTAGCACATTAAAAAACTATTTGTATTTCGTAGGTGATATGTGTTGGAAATTTTAAATTTGCAATGTTGTTGCGAGATAAAGAGATGGAATTCTCGACTGCCAAATTTTCGAAGAGTCAGTTCTGGAAGCCACGAAAATTTAAAGCGCGCTTGGTTGGCGATTCCAGCTACAAGCTTTGGTCATTTGTCTTCACTCCAATACTGAAACCACAAAACGCAAAAGAAGAACGGTACAATCTTGCAGATATTGCTATTAGAAATCCAATTTACCTTTAACCTGAAATCAATAATTCTGAAGTTATTACGAATGAGATCTTTGAGCGAAATCTAAAAAATATGATGTAAAGAAAATTGCAAAAAATTATTCCAAACCTGAGACATATCTTATCCTCAACCCTCCAATTGTCTACTCAAACCTAAGAGTAGCTGCCATAGCTAAGAAAGTTTTGTACTTGAGTACAACTAGTTTTCTTGATTTGAGCTAATAGTTATTTAAATTTAATTTTGTTCCCCACGGTATTGCATCCTGGATACTTTCCGATCTAATTTCTAATACATTAACATTTTTTCGGCTCAAATACAAATGTGAAAGTTTATAATTTCTATTTCTATTTTTAAGATTTTTTTATTTTAAAATTCAACTACAAAAATTATTGAGTTAGTCAAAAAGGCACGTTGAATATTTCTTTTAAATTTCAAATATCTAATTTGATACATAACTTCAATAATTTATTTTTATTTTTCTGCGAATTTCAAATTATTTGGTATCTTACAAACCTCAGTACATTAAACTGGTCACACAACACATATGATTCACACTCAGAGATAATTGTGCAAATTAAAGCACAGAAGAATCGTAAATGTCATATTATTAATTTTTACATCAGTTTGGTTTATAATTTTCATATGCTTTAAAGTTAAATTTAATAAAACCTGGACGTGAATGCTATCAGGTATGGCAATTCGCCAGCCGCGCAAGTCGCGGCACTTTGATGAATTTGTGTAAAATGGTGTAAATGTTATAAATTTATTGACTGAACCTCATATTTTCTCTAACTCTAACGATATAGTGTGCATAAACAAAACTTTCGTAAGTCTCTTCCTTTCGTATGTGTTAGGGTTCAATGCTGCTGCGGCAAACACTATGTAGATGTCTTCAAAAGTAGATTGGACAGGCGTAATTCGAAAGAATCCATGAGTAGGGTTCCAAAGCTTCAGAAAGGAGGGATCCTTAAGCTCTTTTTAACAAATTGCAAATTATGTGTGAGTCTACCGAATGGTATATTATTATTTAGAGTTAAAATTAAGTTTAGAATCTGCTCTTGTTCACAACGGCAATGAACTTTCCACTGCACCACTAACGCATGCCGTTGGAATATAGGGAACCTACAATAAAGTCGCGAACAGTGTCAGACGGTTTTGCCTTATTTGCACATAAAACTTGGACTGGAGAAAAATTTTGTTGAAGCTCTGCAAAAAAAAACGAAAGCCCTGCGTTCGAATATACTTTAAAATTTTTCCCCAGCATTAATTTAGCCAAAATCAAAGAATATTTTTGTTGGGTTACAAATCAGAAAACTCATAAAGGATGATAAATTAATTAATATATAAAATATTTTTATTTGAAGGCATGGACTTCGTTTCAGCAAACGTTTACCGAATTCTTGGGTAACGATAGAGTTCCACATTATAAAGAAATGTTTTCAACTATTATTGACAATTTAAAATCTACTGGACCAACTATGCCTCTAAAAATACATTTTTTGCACTCTTTTACATGTAGGTCATATGCGATCACCGCTTTGTTGTTATGGGTGGGTAAATAGATTTCAACTCTATCAACTTTAATTAACTATTTCTTGTGTATTTTTCCAGACACAGAATTGGTATTCTTCTTATCAGATACCAGGTTGTAAAATCTTTCTTCCATATTTTTTACATTCGAAGTCCGTAACTATGATATTGTTTTCGTTCTTATAGCTTAGTCTTCCAGGACATAAACCTTGAGTAAAGCAACTGACTTTTTGTTAAAAAGTATGACGCCTCTCTTTGTTCGTTATCTCTTGATGTAGTTCCCCCACAATTCGCGTAGCTGCAGATTGTAGCGTCATTTTGTGGGCTGTATTTGGCAGTTTTTATTAATTATCGCTCAAAGAGATCTTGCACTGCAATGCATAAGGAGTGAGTGATATGCCAGCATTGACGAATGAGAAGTATCTGTCAGCATTATTGTGATAAGGGATTAATTATTAAATCGGTTAGAGAGTTCAACAGCGAATCTTCGGCTGTTTTACATCACCACAGCTTAGCGATGCCAAGTTTTGTATCTGTACAAGAATATATGATATTGGCATCCATACCTTGGTGACAATTTAGTGATCTGAAGCGATGTTTGAATTACGTGAAGAACGTATTTCAAGCTGATTAAAAACGTGCCTTAGATTAATGCCGATTAAATCAACTTAAATTTCCGTTGTTTCATTTGGTAAATAACGTATTCCTATATGAAAGAAGCCTCCCAAATTCGACAAAATCATCATCAATTTATATTTTAACTATTCTTATTTTACTGTTTATCGAATAACCATAGCTACAGTTTGCTCACGTTTCTAACTACGTATGTATCTGATAAAAATGGTTTAAATGGTTCTTTCCCATTTAAAAGTTGGACCAATCACATGCTTTTGTGTACAAAGAAAAAAATCTTTTGTTTGTCAAAGAAATCTTAAATAGAAGGTAAATCAGGATCCCGATCGAATAAATATTTTAAAATAAAGCGTATTCCATATGGAACTCTGTTAATTGCACAATATGCTTTGAGCTGATTATACCATACCATTGAGTACCTATATTTTTTCTTTGAACGATTAGTAATTCACTGAATCTGCTCTCGGTCGACTGTCAAATTTGACAAGTTGTGCGCAATGCGTCAATTAATTTTCTCTGTTTGATTCGACTTATTTGGAGCAAGGGCACCGAACATGGCTAACTGTGTGAACGTAGGTAGTAAAATGTGGTAAATAAGATTGTTTTTTATATACAATCTAACAATTTATTATTGAAGATATACACAGTTAATTTTGGAGGCCAAGTTCATAAATGCACAAGTGAGGAGAAGATTAAATTAAGCTTGTAAATTACAAATAGAACTTAGCAGAGTAAGTTCTATGTAAAAAATAAGTATTTCTGAGAAATTGTAACAATATTTTTATTAAAAATATTTTCAATTATCAATCCACCTAGTAGATATCTTCAAATAGGTTACATGTTAGTTGTATTTTATATGGGAATGTGTGGAAGTTTAACTAAATTTTTAATATATTGAAGACTTGAAAAAACAAAATTAATATTTTTTAAATGTCTACTTAGTTTATATATACCATATATGTATATAGTGAAAGCTCTCTTAACGGCATACCATGTGCTTGGGGAGTGCCCGGCACTGATGCATAAGCGAAAGAAACACCTTGGAGGGTATTTCATGGATCATAAGGATTCAAGACTGGGGAAGATAGGATCCATACTGTCTTTCATTAAAGAAATCGGACTTGGAGAAATACTCTAACCCGACAAAGGGGCACAAAAGATCTTTTAGGTCGCAGTGCACGATCCCTTACTCAATAATAATAATAATAAAAGCTCTCTTAAGCAGCAACCGACACGAACAGCCAATTTGACCAAATAGGAGACCTGACATTCACAGGAACATATTTTATTCCTTGAAAAAATTGGAATAAGTACATTGCGTGGTTATTAGAGTTGTGTTTTCATGAGAACATTATTTTAAGAGTGTCTCCACTTTTTAATAGCATTTTGATTCTTTTAAAACCAATTGTACAGTGTTACCCATTTTGTGCTTCCAAAATTTAATGTTAATAAAACACACTTTCAGTCAAGAGTCCGATTAAGTTTCTTGATAAAATATAGTGTTTAAAATTTATCCTTAAATCATTCAAATTTTCTCCACAGAATATCTTACAGTCCTGGTTTTTTTTTATCATGGTTCAAGTGTCGGCACTTAAAGAAAGAGAGATGTTCATTTTCAAAGCATCAAAGGTTTAAGAATCGTTCGCGTAAAAACCGATATATTATGTAAATCCAATAAAAAAGATTCTATAAATGACAAATCACATGATCTCGATGACCAACTCACATCACCAAACCTTCTATTATATTAACTTTCAACTAAACATATGATACCTTAAGTGACACATTTGTAAGATAAAACAGTGCTTTCAATTGAGATTAAGTGGATAATTTTTTTAACGTCGAAGAATATTATTTTTTTTAGTTTTTTTTTTTCAATAATTTTTTGTAAAACTCAAGGTGATAATAATTTCTCTAACGAAATTATTACTTAACTTTCGCAATTAAAAGCCTCTATTCAAGCTTAAATTCGAATATACGACATTAAAACTGGCTTCATGGTTCAGTACTTGGTGTTGGGTTCAGAAATTTTAACCATTTGTTATGAGAATGTTTTAAATGATCTATCACTAGTTAGTGATAGATAAATGTTTATCTTTTTTAGATATAGGCATAGGTTCGCTTATTTTATTTAAATATAGTTATGCAAAAGACAAAGCAACACTGCAAGGAATTGAATCAATAGCCTTATAAATGGAGAAAGTACTAGTATAACCTTGATGATCTTACAATATTACAATATTAGTATTCCTTTAGATTAAGAGTAATCTCTTTTAATGAAACCCGCATGAGAACAAGAGACTTTGTTTTTAACTATTTCTGGACATGTAAAAATTAAATAAGAATATTATTAATATTAATTTTTAAATATCCGCAGATGTTAGCTAACTAACATATATTGTAGTATCTGCTAAGCAGCACATATCCTGTAGGCAAGCTTAGTATGCAATAACAAAACGGACTATACCGATACATATCAAAACATTCCATTTTGTGGGTTTTTTAGGTTAATGATAACGAGACTTATGTCAGTCAGACCGTTGTGGAGCAAAAAAAAAATAACTGTCAATTGTTACCTCTCTCTTTCATTCATCATTCTGAATGACTTAAAGCCCTCACGGGCTGAGAGAAATTTTTCAGTGGCTTCAAATAGGGCAATATACAACAGTCCAACAATGGACGCAATGTCGTGGACAGTCAATGTTCGAGCTATAACTATAGCTTAACTATAGTTATAACAATACAGACTCGTAGACAAACCGATTTCGAAAAACAGAAAGAGTTTCTAAATGATTTTTAAGAGTATTCTTCTTCTTCTTCTTGTTCTTGAGTTAGTGCTATTACGCACTTTTACTCTATAATGGCTGGGGGGCTTATCACTACCCCACACTAGGCTTTAACTAGGCTAAGAAATCATATAATTTATTTGTCTTTTAGTTGATGACGGACCTTAAATCAGAATATCTTCCTGAGAATCCAGAAGTGTACTTGAGGATTTTTAGTGCGGGGTTAAGTAGCGTATCAACTTTAGTGAATAATTTTAGAGCTCTGTCTCTGATATATTTTTTCACTGAGTCAATCCTAAGATCTCTATGTATGTCTGTGGATCTAATATACCATGGAATCTTAAACAGTCTTCTTAAAGCCAGGTTTTGAGGTATCTGTAATTGCTTTAAGGTAGTATTTGAGGCTTTGCTATATGTAACACATCCGTACAGTAGTGCAGGTCTAATTACTTGTGTATAAAGTAACTTTCTGTATTTGAAGTTGAAGTGATAATTATTAAATAGCGGCTTTAATAAATGTAGAATCTTAGAGCAGCTATTCCGTTTGTATTTTAAATGTTTAATTTTTTATGCTATCCCCCCACCGTATCTCCGTATCACAAACGCTGACTCTTGGATGATGCTGTCTTCTTTTTCGAGTTATAAAAATAGCCTTAGTTTTGTCATTATTAATTTTAATCTTCCATTTTTGGAAGTATTCCACGATAAGGTCTATATTTCCCTGTAAAGTGTTGCTTACATTTATGGCATCCCGATCCAAGTAGATCAAGCACATGTCGTCTGCGTAAAGCGCCATTGACGTGGGACTTAAAGTGGGGATGATTAAGAGTATTATTAACTGCTATTTCAAATTATAAACATGTACTATAGTATGTCATGGAATATATAACAATATTAAGTACAATATAATATGTTTCAAATTTTCAATTCAATGTTATGAGAAAGAAAAATCAGTTATGGGAACAAATATTTGGTGATAGCATTTTAATATCTAGAAATAGTTCGTAAAAATTCAAAATTAACCAAATAAGTTTTTGGAAAATCATTTTAGATGCTTCATTTCAAATTGAGTTTGTTTAAATTTAATCAAGGTTAGAGCCGATCTTAAGGAACCATGGACGTGAGGCGGGTGAGCTTTTAAGAAAAATTAAATGAAAAAAATTTAAATGTTTTTTTTTTAAATAAAATAAAATTTGTAGTTCGGAGGTGGTGGTGGAGATGTTGATGCTTCAAATGTTCTACTTCATGAAACACCAAATTACTTTCATTTACCTGTTTTGGACGAAAATATTGCAAATTTATTCCCGGCATTTCATTCACTATACCAACAGAAATTTGAACACGATGTTCGAAGAAGTCATCACCAAATGCGGCGAGTTTTTGGTATTCCGATGACTGCGTTCACGCTTGCTGGTTTCAACATGGCGCAAGGGCAGGCCTTCATACCCCTCAGTTTTAATAAGGAATACAGTCGAGAACATCGTGCAAAACAACTAGCGTTTCAAAGAAGACTAGATATCCTTGTTAACAGCCGTTATATGCAACGAAAGACTGAGCTATTTTCAGAAATCTACGGGATAGGACATGCTTATTAGTTAGAAACAACTTGGTTTCGCTGATCTGATTTGATATAATCAGCATAATGTGCTGCATTTTAGATATTTTAGAAGAAATTTTGATAAAATAATTTAAAGAAACGCCACAGAGGGAATTGGTAATTCTAATAAAATAATATTTTGAATACGTTGTGGGCCACACCGTAGCTAAACTTTTCTCATTGGTTTCTTATAACTTGTGCAGCACATGATAAGGTAATTAATCTAGGTTTGTATATTAAGCATATAAGCATATAAAAAATGTTTTCGGATATCAGATTGACATTAATTAATATAACTTTGTTATATACAGCGTAACATTTTAAAAGCTTAAAAAGAACAAAATAGTGGCGTATTGCATTATTAGTGGAATCAATTGAGGCATGATGTGATGATGAATTAGAGGAACAACTCCAGAACGACCTTATGTTATGACATATAATCTGACTTCATCACAAAAACTATATTAAAGGCACACATGATTTTTATAATTGGATGATATTAAATGTTAATAGATTCTGTTAAAAGTATGAACGCTGAGGGCGTGGTAATATGAATGCAGAAAGTAAAATCCTAGACTATATTGAGCGTTTAAGAATAACGGTGTTCTTAAAAGAGAATGCAGAAAGTATTTGTGTTCTATTTCAAAACTTAAGTGAAACCTGTGCTAATAATAATACCAGTTTAGATGGAATCTTTCATAAAACAACCTATTTATGCAAATATGTAAACAAACTCTATTATATTAAAGATAAGCAATTTATAATTTGATAAAAAATAGATAACTGTATGAAGGCAATATCTTTTCATAAGACAGTACTGAAGATATGTTAAATGTATGTTGTTTATGATGTTATGGTACTCATATAAACCTGAACAAACTCAATATATATCTGACCCACAGTCACGTGAATAATACAGATTAATGAAATAAATCTCTGAATAATCATTTCTTTACTCCAAAAAAAAGGAAGTTGGACTCCACTTTTGCTTATAAAAAAAAAACTTTCTTTTAATAAGATAAAATAGAAAGTTATGATTCATAATTTATAATTTGTAGAGATATCCTCATTGAAAGAACATTAAATTTTCTCAGGAAAAAAACTTCCTTAGTAAGATGGAGTAGCGTATTATGACATCCTAACTTATGTACTGGTACCTGTTCTGTAACGGTAAGTTGAGTAAATCTTTATTAAAAAATCTATAAATTTTTTTAAAAGGATTAGTCTATTCCAGGTACTTGCGAATTTTACATTGTTCGAATAACAGCTAAAAGAGTAGTGGATGATGGAAAGAAATTGAGACAGAATCGCAGAAAGTATGTTGAATTGATATAAGACGAAGCATTTGGTTTTAAACTTATAGATACACAAGTTATTGACATAATTGATAAATTTCGAGATATTTTCATGAATCTTACTCTGTAACTTACTTAAATATAAAGTATTCGTGCAAGACTAATCGAAATATGAAGGATTTCTGAACATTTTATAATGGATGATTTCGACATTAGTAACCAGGCGGTATCTCTGAATCTCTGAATTTAAACTTTGACTCTTTTGCGAATAGTATATATAATAGTATATGTTTATATCAGAATTACAAATTTTTTCTAATAATAATTAAATACATCTAATCTTGAATTAAATTTGTGACAAACTTGTTCAAAATTAAACAGCTTATATTTTAAAATTAATTGTTTTATTTGTATGCCATCCAGACTTCCAATTGGAGTGCCATCATCCACATGTACCTTCCGCTCTGCGGATTATCTTCTGCGGATTTTGTTGTTTGTTAACTACTCCTTAAGTAATAGACCTTTTTCAAAAATTTTTTTTTTGTTATGTTGGTACACCCTTTCTTGGTACAAATTTAAGCGCCATCTGTCAATTAGTTTGTTTACAGCAGCTGTTAATGTGAGACTACCTCAAGTGCATTTAGCGATTTTTACTATGGAAAATTCTTGTTGTACGCGATTTTTTGACCAAACACGGCACCATTGTCATCCCTCAGGCACCATATTCGCCGGATCTGGCGCCGTGCGATTTTTTCCTGTTCCCGAAACTCAAATTGCCCCTTCATGGTAAACGTTTTGAATCGATTGAATCGGTAAAACAGAATTCGCTGAAGGAACTAAAAGCCATACCTGCACGGGCCTACGAAGAGTGTATGGAAGATTGGGTTAAGCGTTGGCATATGTGTATCGCTTCAGAAAGAGCATATTTTGAAGGAGATAAAATAAATTTGGAATAAAATTTAAATTTGTTTGTTTTATTTACAAAATCCGAATACTTTTTGAGTAGAAGATACCTATATATGCCTTGGTGATTGTAAATTCACGCCTTCAGTACATCGCTTTTGGCGATGCCCGGACAACAGTGATGTTTGGTCACTGGAATAAAATAACTACAGCAAAACTAAAAATATTTAATTTATTGGTATTTGTTCATAAATCAACAGATCACGTAATGTAATTTATAACTATTGCTATTTATTTTGATTTTTTAAGTCATACACTTACAATACTATATAACATTTTGCAACATCTGTACCTGTACGTTAAGAATCCATTTCCATCGGTAATGTGACATTCGATGTTTTGCTACCAGTATCATTATTTTTATAATACCTAAATATGAGTGATCCACGTTATTATTAGTGTCTAAGCTTTTTCTTCCAATTCTTCCAATATAGTCAAAAATTGAATTAACTCTTCACCATTTTCATGTGATTTATTACGATCGTTAACAGGGAACAGTAGACAGGGGTGCAATAAAAATCTTACATTCACTAGTGCGGATCAAGTTCCATGCTGTGCAAAAACTGATAATGTATGATCGTTAAGTGACATGCTGTAAGATTGAGGCTATCTTAGCTATTAATGATAACCTGAAGACTTTAATTAACGATTGATGATAAATTGATAATGATTTTAATAATATTAATCTTGATAATGATGGAGTGAAATTTTAAAGAAATTGACATACAGATAGTTCATTGATCGTTATCTGTAAAATATTGCAATAGGCAAAAACTCATAAATCTATGATTATATGCGGAAAAACCGGGTTCTTCAAATCTTAACCTTCGTTTTCTGTTCCCTGTCGCAACTCTTGATTTTACAATTTGGTTAAGCACATGCATACATTATTACTTTACTTCCTCATAGAGTTCTCCTATACTTTTCATATTTTACTTTTGGTTTTGCTCTGTTTTGTAGTATATAATAAAAATTATTTAACGGCTTTTATTACATAATTAAATATAGAGAATCGAAGCATTTGAAGCATGAACATTCAAAACATCAAACTGCACACTTAAGATACGGAATAATTGAAACGCAACGAACTAAAGAAATAATTTAATTTCAACCTCTTCAATGCTCTTTGAATTAGTTTTAGCGATTTTAATATATTCGCCTATTAAAAATTTAGTTTTTTTCCATCCGATAAAGTCGAGACCCCAAAGCAACGAAACTTAACAAGCAAAATCATCTGTAATTTTCATTTCACTTTCAATGCCTTCTGCTGGCTGGCAATGATATTGAAATCGTTTCGATAATGACGTGGAAGGAATTATTGAGTTTACGATGCATGCCTCGAAATGATAATCAGGCACGCGTCTTACGATTTTAATATGTTTTAATTGAGCAGAAAATAATAAATTAGAATGCAGATTGAATTAAACTGCAATGGATTTTCCGGCAGCTGTGGATTTTTTTATTAAAGGCGCTTCAATGGAGAGTGCAACTTTAAAAATGAATAAGTTCAAGGGGTTTTTTGCAAGAACTGCTTCATTAAATATTTTGTTCGGAATATAAATATGTTCTCTAATTATTGTTAACTGAAAAGTGCAAAATAAAAGAAACACAAAAAACGGGATTATTTTTTCCTTGATTGAAACTATATTTAGTAGAAGCATTTGGGATTGAAACTTAGGTACACGTAAAAAAAGACAAAATATTTAAGGGTCTAAAAAGGAATGGAGGATGTAATAATATTTTTTTAAAACAGACATTATAAGTCTTCTACCATTTTTCAGCAACAACCAGTATTTCTCTATTGTAGAGCTCCGAAGTTCAATGTTTGAAAAAGTGACACTCCTCTTCCTGCTACTCTATTCTGCCGTTAGTTTTATGTTTGCTAGAGAGTATTACAAAGATCGGAAAAAATGAAAATCGAATGGTGTAATGTTAAGTAAATACATCAAAACTTTCCTAGCCAACACCCCGTCTTAGTAGAGCCTACTAAGACGGGGTATGATAATGCATATCATACCTTCTCTTTAAATCGATTTTGGCAGATTAATTTGAATCATTAAATTTCTTACTTCAACAAAAATAGTTTATTATATTATTAATTTAAGTCTATCCGATAGAATCAACCGATAGTCTCACATAATGTATGGATCCCTTGCAATCTCATCGAACAGAAGTTATCACCTTTGAAAGTGATTAACTGTAATTTTAAATAATTTTTTTCACAAAACACAAATTCAATAATGTCAAAACCCATATTTTACTAATTTATCATATGTGAAACCAAAACAAAGTTATTATTATTGTTACGGGATGTGGCACTGTGTCTCTAAGCCCTGTTGCGTCAATAAAAAATAGTATAGACCCTACTTTACAGATTTTTATTGCCTCTTTCGTAGGAATATACATTCTCAGAACATTCTAATAGCACATGCGTGGCCGAATCTTCATTCTTTTCGCAGAATCCACAGTTTTATCATTATGTACACCCAGTTTCGGAAGGTGGTATTTTAGCTAACAATGCCCTGTTAGGATTTCTGTGATGATTCTAAGTTTTTCTTTTGGTAGATTCATATAATTCTGGTATCTCTTATTGTTATAGGTACCAATAAGTGATTTGGATTGTATTAGTTCTGGTATATTACCCCAGTAATCCTTTTTATTCTGATTTTTTTTATGAGAGAAAGGAACGTACTATGTCCTTTTGCACAGAACGGTTTCAACCCCATCATCGATGTGGCAAACAAAGTTTTTAGATTCGAGTAATCTTTTCAAAATACTAAACTTTGAAATCCAGCAAAGGGAAATACGCCAAATTTTTGTCTAATGACTGTTATTGTGTTTTGCTATAATAAAAAAAGATATCTTTATTTAAATTTTTTGACTAATATATTCCATTCAGATTTTTTTCAAATCTTCTAAATTAAAACTATTGTGATTCAATCAATTA